ATATGAAGTCAGTAGAATTTACCATTAATGGAAACAGTTACTTCTCGCAACTGGCTTTCATAGAATCACAGAATCATAGAAAATTAAGGCTGGAAGGGACCTCGGGAAGTCGTTTAGTCCGACCCCCTGCTCAAAGCAGGACCACCTCCAGCTATATCATCCCAGCCAAGGCTTTGTCTAGTCAGGTCTTAAAAACCTCTAAGAATGGAGATTCAAACCTCTTTGGGTAACCTATTCCAGGGCTTTACTCCCCTCCTAGTGAGAAATTATTTCCTAATATCTAACTTAAATTTCCCTTGCTGCAACTTGAAGCCATTGCCCCTTGTTCTGTTATCCACCATCACTGAAAACAGTCTCGCTCCATCCTCTTGGACCCAACCTTCAGGTAGTTGAAGGCTGCTCTTAAATCCCCACAGTTTTCTCTTCTCCAGATTAAATAAATACAGTTCCATCAGCCTCTCCTTATAAGTCTTTTGTCCCCTCCCCCTAACCATGTTTCTTGCCCTCTGCTGAACTCCCTCCAATTTGTCCACATCCTTTCTGTAGTGGGGGTCCAAAGCTGGACACACTACTCCTGACGTGCCCTGACCAGTGCTGAATAGTGGGGAATAATCACTTCCCTTGAGCTGCTGGCTAAACTTTTACTAACATAGACCAGTATGCCATTAGGCTTCTTTGCAACAGGGGCATATTGCTGGCTCATATCAGCTTATTGTCCTCTGTAGGTCCCTGGTCTTTTTCTGCAGAGTTTTCTTTCTAGCCAGTCAGCCCCCAGCCTGTACTGGTGCATAGAATTGTTCCCTCCTAGGTACAGGACTTTGCACTTGTCCTTGTTGAACCTCATGAGATTTCTTTTTGCCCAATCATCCAGTTTGCCTAGGTCACTATGAAACCTAACTCTACCCTCCAACATATATACTACTCCCACCAGCTGCACAATGGGATCTAATGCATGATTTGCAAACTTGCTGACGGTGCACTCTATGCCACCTTCCAGATCATTGATGAAGATATTGAAGAAAACCGGCCCCACAGCTGACCTCTGGGGCACTCCACTTGATACCAGCTGCCAAATAGACATTAAGCCATTGATTACTATCCTTTGAGCCCAATGGTAGCTTTCTATCCAGCCAGCTTTCTATCCATCTTACAGTCCGTTCATTGAACCCATACATCCTTCGCTTGCTTGCAAGAGTGCTGTGGCAGACATATCACCTCAATACAGAAAGCAATCAGGTTGGTCAGGCATGACTTGCCCTTGGTGAATCCATACTGACTGTTCCTGATCACCTTCTCCTCCAAGTGCTTAGAAATGGATACCTTGAGGATCTGCTCCATTATTTTTTAGACACTGAGGTGAGGCTCACTGGTCTGTAGTTACCTGGCTGCTTCTTCCCTTTCTTAAAGATAGGCACTATATTTGCCCTTTTCCAATCACCAAGGAGCTCCCCAAATCACTACATATTTTTAACAATAACGGCCAGTGGCTCTGCAATCACATTACTCAACCCCTCAGCAACCTTGGGTGCATTGTGTCTTGCCCACATCGAACTTTCACTCAGAACTTCTTGTTATTCCAAATGCAGTCCAAGCTCCCCATCCCTCTTGATCTCAGGTGGCTCCTCAGCATAGAGTGGCTAGAGCAGGCAACATCACATATGGGAGTGATGTGGCCATCATCACATCCAGCCATTTTTGGTTCCCCAGTCTGAAGTGTCTCAAAACACAGCATCGTTGTTTAAGGAGTCCAAGTCTCTGGTATTTTCCTTGCTGCCTTTGTTCCCTGCAACTGCTTAAACATTGATGTAATAACAGTCTGTTCAGACTGTGTTTGCAGACCAGAGGGTTCTATAGTAACAAGACACATAAGGAGAAAAATGATTCCCTCTCGCAAGGAAAGATAAGTGCTTGTGTGGAGATGCAAATAAGACCTCTTGCAGGAGGTTTTATACATCCAGGGTAGCATGGTGGCCAGACTGCAGTCCCAGAACAAGCAAACCATTAAAGGCAAGATTACATGACATTTTTTGCCCAAGGTTCACAACATATTATTCTGTGTATCATGACAGGCTGGTAGCTGGCCAAGTCTTTGTAAAAAGGCCATACATGGTGAGATTCTGAACTCCCCCCATCCTCATTTGAATGATATTTCATGAGAAAACAAACAGAAAATTAGAAACACAGGCAAAAGGCACCTCTTTGGAAATGCTCCTAGGGCAAAAGAGCACTGAGAGTTTTTATATTTGGCAATTATATAAATACAGTAACACTTGGATTATGAATGACAAATCTTTAGTAACGTAGGTCTGGACACACTGGACGCGCACAGTTTTCACATCCTGAAACACAGGCACACAGTGCTGAGCAAATCTTTGGTTTTGGAAAAGAAGTGGTTCAGTCTTGTAGAGGAATAAGCTAATGACAAGTAATCTGGATTCCATCCAGGCATGTAGTAAATCTTAAAATAGCTGCTTCTGCTCTTAGCACAATAAATCAATGTATTATAAACATGATTTTTGTATTATAAAACTCACTGCTTGTTAGATACTTTGCAAGAGTTATGTTCTTGCATGGGTTACCATGGTAACAATGACACCTGCCTCGAGAGACATTTTAGAAAGGTACCACCACGTCTGACAAGGAGTCAGAGGCCTGACTACCTGTAGCCTTCAATTTCCTTTCCCCAGCTTGACTGAAATTTCTTTGTCTTTCTAAAACCCGTATCCCAGCACTTTTGGCAGCCTATGATTTCTTTAATCTTACTATACTATGCCGGCTTTCAAAGTCTGCTCCGTATCTGATGAATCTCACAGAAATATTATCAGGTGCACAAGATGGCAGGTGGAGCGGCCACTTTTAAATTCCAGTGGTCAGACTGAAATGTCTGCAGGGCACAGATTGACTCTGCCTGAAAAAGAACATGTGCCACGGCAGGAAACGTCACTCAGTTCTGATTTTCTAAGGGAAAGGTGAAAGTGATTCTCTGTTTTAAATACATTTGGGCTAGATTCTTGTGCCCTCTGCCAGTTGCATTGTAAATATTTTCATATTCCCCAGGTCCTGCTATATACACCAGACACAAATAGCCTGAAAGGTAGCATTGTTTGTTTAATAAAGTATTTTGTTTTTTTAAAAAAGTTTACAAGATGCATGTATTTCACATGATAATTTATCAATGACTTTTTTTTTTAAATAACTTAAACACATGCACAAAAACAGTACTCCCCAGCCTGGTGTTAGGTGGGTATTGAACAATATACAGTAGTATACGCAGATTTACGGAAACAGGTAGCACATGACAGAATCGAAATACAAGCTCCAGAATTCAAGTGTCAATTTAAGGAAAACCCTGATTTATTTTTGGAGATGAATCCTATGTTTTGTTATCAGGTGTTCTGCTGTGATCTGCATAAAGGCAAATTTCCCTCCAATTCAGTAATCATGTGAAAACACAGAGACAACAAAAATGCCATGAATCATTTTCACTACTGCTACTACATATTAACGATTGAAACTGGTAACATTCCTTTGGTTATTTTTAATACAGAATGATGTTGATTCTATTTTCCTGTTTTTTGTTCTTTCCCGAAGTCCTTTGAGTGGCTCTGAGGTTAATGGAATTGAGATCTTTTGTGCATTCTTAGGGGTCCAACGTAGCCTTTGTACAGCAAACTGTTAAATGCAAATAAATAAAAACATCACTACAGACGTAGTGGAAACTTAACATGGTTCTTTCAAAACATGTACAGAAAACTATGTTTGTTCATTGGCACACCACTTAAATTAATACTGAATTATCAGTTTATAACACTCCCCAAATGTTATGGTTTACCACCAGCCTTTCAAATGACATCCAATAAATAGAAATGTTCCAGGCAGTCAGCAAAAATATGAAATCTCACCTATGAAAGTCCCACCTTTCCTGCACACGTTCCACTTATCTGCACCAGTCCAGAGCAGCATTCGATATAGAACCCAACAAAGAACATCCACAACAGAGAGCTAAAATCAAAAATAAAACCCCACACAGAAAAGGAAAAGCTGAGCAACAATGGAAAAGTCACGTTTAAATTCTTGCAGCATAATTGTGAAACCAGTAATTGCTGAGCTAGTAGTAAACTTTTGTTTTATTTTCTCTTGCCCTGCCACCAGACACATTTAATTCCAATGTTAGAACAAGATGTTGCAATATGACCCAAACCCTACTGCTCTGGAGTATATAAAATATGAAACAACACAAAGGCTAGCTTGATTACAACTGTTTTAATTTGTACAAGCCTAAATTTAATTGCAGCAATGACGCAAATATTTTTTGCATCAAAACAAACCTTTGGTGAATAGCTCTTTGTTAGGAATTCTACGTTATCATCTGTCCAAACTTGTGGCAATGCTTCCACATCCACACAGAGAGGGACCACTATAGATTAGGGCTGATTTCTTTTGCTAGAATGTGTCCCAAGTAGCAGCTGCACAAGTAATGACTACTTGCTAGTGAAAAAATAAGAACAACTGAAACTGCATCCTGCAATACTAAAACCTGAGGGAACATCTATGCTACTAGAAGCCTTTTTCTCAGAGTGAACTGCAGGCTAGCTAGTATTAGGTAAACCATCCAAGCAGTGAGAGGTAAAAGACAAACTATACTAATGCCTGAAACATAGGATGATCTGCAAGTCCAACTCCAGACACTATTACTTCTTGGAAGTTTATTTCCTTCCTTTCTCAAAGTCTTCCCTGGATTAATTAATGGGAAGGCCCTGATGCCACAAGCAAATTTACTTTTCTGGGTCATATTGGGGTACCTGAACTACCTGAATACAGAAATCATCCTTGTAGACCTAACCATTAAAACTTTAGGAGCCCAAAGTGCTGGGGAGCAGGGCAAAGTCTAGCTGCACCAGGCTAATCATATATTGCAATGAGTGACAAACTGAGAACTCAGATGCTCATAGGTTAGGAGCACTGATTTCCTATTGGCAAAGGCTTACATTATCAAAAGCAACTAAGTGATTTAGGCACATAAAGGGCACTTTTACATGTGCTCTACAGGTGGCAGGGGGCAGAGCTGCTTTAATTAAAGCGCCACAGCATCTCCACGCTTCAAAATGGCAGTGGGGGTGCTTGAACTAAAGCTCATCCAACAAGCTTTAGTTCAAGTGTCCTCACAGCAATTTTGAAGCGCAGGGACACTGATACACAAGATGTGGGAGGTTACTGGAGCATGGTAATGACCACCCTTCAGCAGACTCGATTAATTACAGCACGTTGAAGCAGCCTCCACACTTGTGTACAGGCACCCAAAAAAAGTCTTAACCTTCTAAGGTGCTCAAACTACTTGGGTACTTTTGAAAAATTGGACCCCACATCAGTAGAAGCATTAAAGAAACTCCTGAAAAACCCAATGTATGGGAGCAGTGTTTATAAGAGATTAAAAGGAGGTCACAGTAAAAAAGCCTAGGGACCAACCCCTAAATGTGATGATTTCCCTGCCTGAAGTTCCTGAAAAACAGTTACTGTAAAAAGTGGGTGGGCTACTCTCCTCCTCCTCCCCATACTTTTGTGTCTCAGGCTTAAGGGTCAGTGTGTTACCGAAGTAGATGCACTAACGGATTTTCAGGACTCAATCATGGAGGAACAGAATGGCACCTAGGTGATTAATACATGGAACAGAATTTAACCCTAAGTGTCTGTCAAGGGCATCTCCTGGGATGCTTAAGGTACCCAGAGACAGCAGTCTGTCACCCTGAAAAAAAGTATTGAGAGCTCTTAGGAAGACTGCAGTCATAATTGGAAGATGCATTTCTCGTCTCCCTCTCACTTTGAAATGGATTCTGTATGGATTCTTGGAGATTGCACATTATCTGGATATAATTTTGGTGGCAGCTGCAGACACAGAGATGTCTAATGCTTAAGGAAAACCAAGAGAGGAACTCTCTCAGCATTTTCCAAGCCTGACAAGGACGAGGCTTAGGATTTCCAGCCAGGCCACGACTGTGATGCAGGGAGCAGGAAAGTACTAGATTCTATTTAGAACTGGATCTAGAATCAGCTCAGTTTCTATAAACTGGGTCTGGATGGAGGCAGAAATGGAGGCCTGCCATGAATTAAGATATTTCTTCCCCAACTCAGGAAGGCGGTGGCATGGATTGTAAATAGCCAGGCGTCTCAGTTGTCAGGGGATGGAATTCTTCCCATCTGTGTCACCACTATTGGTTTTTCAAATAAATATTTTTATTACTGTACCACCCAAATGAATTAATTTTCGCTTATTTATATAATAGGCCAAGACAGAGTTTAGGTGCCTTGCGTCAAAACAAGATCAGACACAACTGGGTCAAAATCTTATTCAGTGTAAAGAGGCCTTGGTATAAAATGAGAATAGGGTCCTGCTGTTTTCAAAGGCAAGAATCTAGTGTGGATAAAGCAGCCAAAGGAGAGGCCATTATAATCAAAGCAGGAAAGCCTGATGTGGTGCAACTGGAAAAGAAGGATGAAAAGGAATTATACATAATGTGTTTAGATTATGCACACAATGGATTAAAAGAAGGAGGAAGGGCTCTAGCTGGTAAAAAACAAGAAAAAGAAGCAACTAGTACATTTGGTATGGTCAGTCCTGCCTGCCTGATGGAACCTAGAGTGTCACAAAACCCAGAATCCAGATTTAGGAATCAATAGTAGGAGAAGAGCTATAAGACACTTATGCAGAAAAAACACAGGGGCAACCACGGATTTACCACATACATGCAAATAAACTGTTATAGAATTTTTAAGAAGCACCATAAAATGAACAACACAATGTTCCTGTGCTCCTGAAGGGAGGACGAGATTAATCTGCTCAGTGCAGGTCATTTCGTTCCCTTCCTACAAAAGATCAAATCAGAGCAAAAGGATAATAGCTGCTTAAGAAAAAGAAAAAAAGGAAAAAGAAAAAAAGTCTTGTTTTGTTTAAAAAGTCAGAAGAACAGTGGGGCATCAGGGAAGATGAACTGCTTGCACGAATAAAGCTTACCTACGAGTAAATACTTACATAACACTATGATAGTTTTTGCCAAGGAAGTTGACTTGGCAAGTCAAAAAAGCCAAAGAGCATCTTATGTTTATCAACCATGAAATATCACTCATTTGTAGGCTGCTTCAGGCTTGTTTGACAGACTTTTATTTATTTAAAAGAAGATATAGTTAACTTTGTCTCCTTTGAAAGATTCAGACACAATATACACCAGTCTTTACAAGCTGGAAGAAGACTGCAGACAGAACTGACTGGTATGATGATCTGCTGCTAATAGAAAAGCTCTATAAAAACTGGCTGGTGAGGGTATCTATAAGAAACAGGATTAAGAAAACAAAAACAGAGGCTGCTTGTAGCCATTTTATGCCAATTTGATAACATAAACAAGTCGCATTTCTTCCCGAGGTACAAAAAAACCCCAAATGGTTGATAGTCTGGGAACCTGAACGGATCTGGAAGGTATTTTCTTATCTTCAAAAGGAAATGTGCACATGATTGTGCAGTCATTCATTTTATTAGATACTTCCTCATAAATATGAAGTGAAAGCCCCTGGGGAGTAATGCAGCTTGTCAGAGACCGCTTCCAATGTAAAGGATGAGAAATCAGTGCCTCATGTTGCCAGGATCTGCTGGATTTCTGTGATAGAAACAGCGAAGAGGCCAGTGCAGCATCACGTACACAGCACGCACCACTGAACTCTAGGACTCCAGAAGGATTTGCTCCCCTGCTGCTCTGTTTAGACACTTCAGGCCAGCTGAACAGATGCCTAGGTGAAGCTGATCCTGCCTCAGGCCAGTGGGTTGAACTAGATGACCTCCTGAAGTCCCTATTTGGTGTGATTCTGTGAAACGGCACAAAAAAGAACAAGCTGCTCCCTTGAGAAATGGATTCAAGTACATGGGTTTATGTTTCTTCATTTGAAATACTGAGTAATTTTTTTTTATTTAGTACTGTCATTGCAACTGGAGCACCTCTTAAGAGTCAGAGAAACATAAAAAGGACCTCTCTCAGCCTAGCCAGCATGGGATCAGCCCATATTACAGAGCCCCAAACACCTTCTTCAGTCCAGCTCCAAGTATGCCAGTCAATGCAGGAGGTGGGGGAGAAGGAGGGTGGGGGTTTGCATTACTTTATAAAGCTTACGATGAGTGCAAAACATGTCATGTCCAAAAACTGTTTTCCAATAGTTTTCAACAGAAGGTACAAATGGCTAGCAAAGAGCTGCCACAATGTGAATTCCTTTAGTCTGATTCCATCACACCAACATACCTTTGGTGCTGGTGGCAGAGAAACTAGACTGCAAGAAACTTGGCAGTATCTGTGACAAGCCCATTTCCTGGTTGGGTCCCAAAGAGGGAAGCTAAGTGACTTGGCTCAAGGTCACACAAGATGCAAGTAGAATGGCAAGGAACTGAACCCAAGTCAACCCCACTGCTAGGCCAGCAGCACCTTTATCACTTATCAGCCTTGATCATGTAACCCCTCTCCCTGGACAAATACTACTGTCCTTAAGTACACAAAGGTGCCCTGCTATCCATTCATCTCATAGTCTTAACATAACTTCAAATGAGGTATCACTTTCAGACACAATCAAATTCCCCTCAATCCACCAATCCCATTCCTATCCTGGTATCCATCACACCAGGCTGCCCTTTCAGACAC